CTGTGTAGAAAGTTTGAGCTGATTCCAAGGTCAAGTTATTATGTTATGGGCATTTTAGATCTTGGCCCTAGACCATACTGCGGCTGTAAAATTGGCTTTGAAATCACTCGTTACAACCATCACTTATACCGATATCCTGTGCTATTGTGTAGAATCGGATGTATATCACTGCATGCTGTGAATTATTATAATTGCTGTAACTCAATATACCAATATTTATCGTTTGTTTGTTTTATTTTTATTAATTATTTATTGCTTCATTTTATCACGTACAGGACAAGTACAGCTTTCATAAGGAGGTATTCCTCATTAGATATCAATAAATAATTACCTCATAATAATTATATACCAATTATCATTACCCCCTCTCTCCCTTTCATCTCAAAAGAGCTCGTACTAATAAGTAATTTGAGTGTAAAGAGATGTAAATACTTATTCTTCTTTGTTGTTATATCCCTTCCCTCCTCCTCCCTCCTCTTCTTTCAATTCCTATCTCTTGGATTCACTTTCTTTCTTCCTTTCTCTTCTTTCATGATCTCTTCTTCTTTAACTGTCTCAATCTGCATTGTTTTACATAAAGTATGTTAATCCTTATCTCAAAACACATTCATGTATCTCTTTTTCTCTCCCCTCCCCCCCCCTCTCTCTCTCTCTCTCTCTCCTTCTCTCTCTCTCCCCCCCTCTCTCTCTCTCTCTATCCCACACTTTTTCCCTTTGTGTACTTCACTCCTATTAATTTCTTAAAGTGTTAATAAGTATTTTAGTCTAGTCATTTTCATTAAGTCCCTTACATGCACATAATATACCACCAGCAGGTACAAGCCCTTAACCTTTACCATCTGTCAATCACAACACATTCACTACATATGTTCACGATACCTTGGTATATGCATGGGTATTTATGAATAATGTGTGTGTGTATTTTGAATCATTAGTTTCTGTTTGTTATGACACACAGTCAGTCAGTCAACATGTTGACTCTAATTTATTAAGGCACATAGACAATCCTACAATTACCATATTCACTTACTAATCAATGATATCACTTTACATATAAACACATACAACACACTAATAATACTCATATACATGTACTGTACAGTCTATTTTATTATGTTAACATATATATATGTACACGTGTTACCCTGTATATGGTGCTGTATTGGTTCTTACTGCATGGAGGGAGCTTGGGTGTAGTGCTGTATTGTGTGTTGGTGCTGCGATTGCAGTGATGAACATGTCTTCATTGCTTAATATGATGGAGTACAATCATGTTAACAGCTTCTAATAATAATGCCATAAAAAGAGAGAGAGAGAGCCTAGCCTTCTCTTTATTGTAGCAGATCATATTTATTTTATTAGTATATTCATGTACACACTCACTCACGAACAATTTAAAATTAAAGTACATTTTTCATTGCATTTATCTACGATATAACGGATTTGTAATTGGCATAAAAAATTGGCAAAAAGAAATTTTTACAATTGCCGGTTTTTGCAACTTCATACTTGCCCAGAATGTAACGAAATGGATCGATGGCTTTTTTACATAGCATACATTAATCAGCTAGCCCTTACTATGCTATAATACTTCCTGCTATACAGCATACAGTATAGTCTCTCTTAATGGACACTCTCTATAGCGTACACCTCCATTTAACGGACAGCACCTAGTGTACCAATTACATTCCTTACTGTATAAAATAACCTCCACATAAAGGACACCTCTGTATAACAGAGCAACCAAAGTCCATGTCCATACTTGAAAATTAGAGCAGTTTTGTACACTTTAATGTTTACATACAATTCTCTTTATAGTTAGTTTGAAATGCACTGATTAATATACTTATTAATGACAGCAGACAACATCTCTTTGTGTCTAATATAGAAAAGGAGAGAGAGGAGGAGGAGAGAGAGTGATGAAAGGGAAACTGAACTGAAGGGAAAATTGTGCAATTAATTATTTTGTCTTATTCTTTTAGTGGTCAGCATGATGTCTGACAATAGAACCCATTTAATGTACAATTAAAAATAATTAGATGAGTGAGTGCAGTATTAACCACATGTAGTATAAAGATTATAGTGCAGTGTAACCTCCTACACTCTAAAATAAGGAGGCCTCTATAATGAGGAGGGGTAGTATCAGTCCAACAATACAATAGTAATGTGTATTAATGAACCTCTGAAATAAGGACAGGTTCATAATCAGGAGCTAGAGTATTATTGGGTCCCAAGGTGTCCGGAATAGACAGGATTTATTATAGTACATACAGTAGCTTTCTTTGTGTATGTTAAAATAGTAACTATTATCAAAAGTACATGATGTTATTATTATGATACTTCATAGTAGACTACATGCAATTGGTCTATTACTTCTCAATCATGATCTCTTTCCGGTAGTAAATCTGTTCCGGTCTCTCTCTCTTTCTTGTTATATTCTCCTTCCTCTCCACCACTATGTCTCGAATCCTCTCTCTCTTGTATTCTCTTCCTCTCTCATTCCTCGAGTGTATTCCATCATCAACTAGCACTCATCAATCATCATTATAACCAATAAACCAACTCTCTGTGTTCCTCTTTCATCACTCTCTCCTTCTCTCTCTCTCTCTCCTTTCTACATTAGGCACAAAGAGATGCTCCATTAGCTAAGTGTCATTTATAAGCACATTAATAATTGCATTTTAAACTAACTATAAAGAGAAGCACGTTATGTGAATATCAAAGTGTACAAAACTACAGTAATTTCTGTCTGTGACTGTGAGTGTGTGTGTGGTTATACTCAAAGGGCTATATCATGATTTGACTACATTGCTTCCTACATAAAATCACTCACTCACTCTGTGTATATGTGTGTGTGTGCATAGTCACATGTACTCCTACATGTATATATAACATACATATGCTAGCTCTATAGTAACCACTGCCAGCAGTCCATGGAATGCTTGTAGCTCTTTTCCTGTGGCACTCTTGTGGACACATTTTTTAAATCTGCCGGGTATAAAGTCATTGGACCATGTCCTCATTGTCTTACTGTACCATCACCTTCATTGTATTACTGATATTATGTATACAGAACTGGATGTACCATATCACTACATTGGATTGTGTCATTGTGGAGTGTAATGGTATACTGGGTATATATAATGGCATTGTATTACTGTACTGTGTTGTATTGCGTGGGATAAAATGATGAAATTATAGTAATTATTATACTATCATCTTTCAAAGGAAACTCTGAGAGAGAAAGAGAGAGAAGGACAGAGAGAGAGTGAGAGAGAAGGACGGAGAGAGGGGGAGGGAGAGAAAGACAGAATTAATAGCACAGAAAGAATGTTGATTAAAGTGTAAATTAATCAAAAACTATTCCACTGTATATTGTAAGAGCAACTCTTGTTTTAATTCTGTTCACATGGGAGAGATTGGGTCTGTGTGATGGGATGTACAGCAGACCAAAGACATAACAGAAACTTTATATTTGAAATGTACTGTACTTAGCACTCTATGATAATAATAACAATGATTAACAATAAATTAATAACAAGAAATAAGAGCTAAGGACACCATTGGGCCCACACTACCTGTCCTTAATACATGTACAGTGTAGCCTCTTTATTAAGGACACCATTGGGCCCACACTACCTGTCCTTAATACAGAGGTGTCCTCATTTCAGAGGTACTTTTGTATAGGCTTGTACCAATTGGGACATTACAAAATGTCCTCATTATAAAGGTGTCCTCATTATAAATATTGGACTATAATAAGTACATTCATTCATAAATACAGTGATAATTACATACAGCATAACATTATGTATTGTCAGTAACTCATGACTATTGGTTATAATTACAACAACAACACAATAGGTGTTTGTTTATTTTGACAAATTAATACAATAAGCTTGATCGCTCAACCACACATGATGTTTATATAATTGACACACTCCACACAAACACATTCATCATTATTATACTGTACATGTACATGCAATACCTTATCATATGTACATGTATTATCTTATTACGCTGACACACCCTTGAGTACTATGTATATTGTATATACATGTACACACACACATTCACACAATCAATAATGAGAATCATCATGGTTTGTTAATGTAATCATCACCATTGTTAACATTAGTCAAATCAACAGTGCTAAAATAACCCAATAAAATATTCATACTATAATATTGCATGTATGTACATATAGTCCTCTCCCCCCTTTCTCTCTTTCTCTATATTACATTCCTCCTTTATTATAGATACCAAATATACGTGTACATGTAGTATTGTGTTTGTAATATCTTTTAATGCTATATGTAAGTATACGATATTATTTTAATTTGTATGTTTACAATTGTTTGTTTAAACTTTAGTACTTTTAATGACAAGCATGTGTCACTGATCAAGTTAGTCGGTAGCGGAGAGAGAGAGAGTGTGTGTGTGTGTGTGTGTGTATGTGTGTGTTATGGAAAAAATGTTTTGATTTACAGCATCTAGTGCCTACAAATACAGTTTTAAATATACTGAGAATTGTTTGTGTAGCTGTGTCTACTGTGTATTATCCATTAGAGAGATCCATAGTCCATGTATTTTTAATATTCTTAAGTACATATGGCTCAAAGAGAGGACATGCTTTAAAGATACAGTAAATACTAGTACATGTACCACACTCACGAACATACTGATGCTGAACTATGAGGTACTGAAAAGAAAAGATTCATTGTAGCAGAGAGAGGGGGGGAAAGAGAGAGACATTAAAGAGGAAAAAAGTGCGTGAGAGTTTAGGAACAAAGTCAGTCATAGCAACAGTTCATAAATACAAGACCATTATTCATAATGCTCCCAGTAGACCAGGAGGCACAAGTTCCTATTACAGTGTACATGATACAGTGTACATGATACAGTGTACTTCATGTTAATAATATTTACAGTCTAGGGCAAGATCAAAGGAAGACTGTTAATAAACAAGTAGCCATAGCAACGCTTAATCACTTTTGTTTCGATTTAAATTGTGTTGAGAATCAAATAAATGTTTTGTATTTTAATAATGATAATAACAATAGTGCAGTGTAGTGTTTGTGTATGTGTGTGAGATTTGACAAAATAATAATAACAATAATGACAAAAGTGAAGTTGATTGATTGGGACAATAATAATAACACAATGAAAAAAAAAACACAAAAATAATAATAAATTAAACACTTTTACTTGAGAGATAAAAATAACAAACAGAAAAGGGGAATTGATCCAGAGCAACAATAATAATTCACTAATAATAATAATAATTACAGATTATAAGTCCTCATTATAAAACAAGCCTCTCCTTCTCTCGTCTACCTGCGTTGTACAGTGATCCCTTTAATGGAGGACCCAGCATTGCCTTCTTTAACAGAGCGGCCATTCCTTCTTCATCAGTCACATCAACAGGGAACTCGCAATTATTATTTAGGACGGAGGCCTTGGCGCCGTTTTCTAGTAGAAATTGAGCGATTCGAATCGAACCCACAGCACTTGCAGCGTGTAACGGAGTCCAGCCTTCGACGTCTTTTAAGTTAATATCACAGTTAAAATCAGAGACCAAGTGCTTCACTAAAGTATAATTCTCCTCCAGCACTGAATGATGTAACGCACTGATTCCTGATTGCTTGTTGATTCGGTTAATATCGATTTGGGCCTTCACTTTTATCAATTTGAGTAAAGCATCGACGTCGCCGTTTAACACTGCTTCTTGAAACTTGTAATCAAATCCGCCTGGCACCAGATCAGTGTCTAGCACGTCTCTTGAAGTACCTTCGTCATCGGAACACTGCAGGCGTCTGTTTGAGCAATCACTAGAGACGTCCATAGTACTAAAACCTTGATCGGTCGTCTCTCTATCTGTATCGGAGAGGTCCTCATCGTTGGGTGGAGGTGATGAAGGACAGAGGGTTTTTAAACTCGATGTGCATGCGTCTGATTCGAAACTCGCCACTTGATGTCTTAGTGAGATGTTATCAGTTTCAGTCATAGAGCCATAGCTGGAGGTACTGTCTGATAACTCACGGTCTTTCAAAAGAGAAGTAGGGGAAAGGATAGTAGCAGGAGCTCGTCCATCAGTAGAGAATACGCTATCAACAGATTCGTGTAATGGAGGCGAGCGTCTGCCTGTTCCTGGTCTTCCGTTTAGTGACATTTTACGTCCCCAGGGAGAAGAGCTCTCACTATCGTCCGAGAAACAAAGTTCTCCTTCTTCAGAGTCGGACTCAACGTGACTATACCTCTCCTCATCCTCCTCTTCCTCTCCTTCTGATGAAAACTCGTCCTCAGAATGTCCGTCTTTTTCATGGTCTGATTCCAGCAAAGACTTTCCAGCAGCTGCTCTCAATATCAATCTCTTGATGTGGCTCTTCTTAGCTACTTCTGAAGGCGTCTGTCCAGCATCGTTCTTCGTACTTGGATTAGCTCCGGCATTTAATAGAAACATGACAGTGTCCAAATGTCCAGTGGCTGCTGCAGCATGTAGTGGGGACCATCCATCAGAGTCGAGACTGTTCACGTCAGCTCCGTTGAGGATGAGCGTACGAGCACATTCCAAGTTTCCATCAAGGGCTGATTGATGTAATGCAGTTAGTCCTACTGGACTCATCTTGTTAACATCATCAACTATGCCAGAGGAAATCATCTCTTTGACTACTTCAGCGTCTCCCTCAGTCACCAGTTCTTGCAGCAGTACTTCAGGCTGGAAGCTAACAGACCTTCTGCTTTCTCCAACCCCCAAATCCTCTCGACTGCTTCTCCGTCTCGACAAGTCGACTATGGAGGGCTTTCTTGGTCGCATTTTCAACAACTCTATCGGGGTTTCCCTCTCGCTCGAACAACCAGAGCTGTTACCACTGGTACAAGCAAGACAGCGACCACAAGGCCCTGCTCTCTTTCCGCTGCTGTTCTCTGTCAGATGCATATTTTCGTCGCTGGCGCTCCCTGCTGAAGACGGTCTGTAGTTAGATCCTGGTAGCTGTGTTAGTAGAGAAGCTCTTGGTAGCCCTCCGCTGCTTCCTAGCTGATCTACACTTGAGGAGCGAGTAAGGACAGGAGCGGTACAACTCCTAGCTAACATCCGAGACTGATCCAAAGAGTCTGTGCGAGACGTTTCGTCTCTACTTTCTCTCCTTCTCCTTAAAGCGGGGCTCTTTACTCGTTTAGGACTACTGGAAACCTCTCCTTTACAAATTGGGAGGGTCTCCTCTTCCTCGTCAGTTTCTTCTCCAAGAAGATTACACTTTTCTTCACGGACTGTGCTCAGAGACGTTTTATACCTGGAGCGGTGCTCAGTAATTAGTGGGCGAGGCTTGTAATTTATCCCTGCGTGGGTGGAGCTACCTCCAGGAGCAAAATTGGAATTACAACTCCCAGGTGACTCTCTATGAGAGAAGCCATTATTCATAACTGAGCATGAATCTTCTCCTGTATTGGATGTCGATACCCCCAGGTCCACCCCTTTCTCTGCCTTGATCCTTGACCCTTCGTTATTTTCATTATTTTCGTGCGATGAATCATCTTTGATGCCTTCGAAAATGGACCTGTATCGCTTAGCGATCGCCCCGTGCCCAGCCTCCTCCATTTTCTTTAGTAGGAGGTTCTCTGTGGGTGTGTCACCGGCAACGTCGATCGCCATTTCCCCTTTCGACGTCCTTGCCAAGATATCAGAGCCATATTGCAACAGAAGCACTACAAGTGTAGTAGAAGAGTAGAGTGAGGCATCATGGAGTGCAGTCCAGCCTTGGTTATCCTTTAACTTTACGTCAATCCCTGCATGAATTAGATACTCCGAGAGACAAAAGTGACCATTAATGATTGAGAGCTGTAGGGTGCTTAGACCGTGTGAGTTTTTCGATTGAAGGACGTTTGGATCGAGGGCTAGCAGAGATTGGATCATACCTATGTCACCTGTGACCGAACTGTGGAGCATCCTGTCTCTTGTGGGAGATGATCTACCACCCCACAGTAGATTCATTATGGGTGGATGGTGTTGTAACCTCTTTAGTTTGATGCTATTGGGAAAGAGGGAGAGAGAGAGAGAGAGAAAGAGAGAAAGAAAGAAAAGAAGAAAAGAGAAGGAGAGAGAGAGAGAGAGAGAGAGGGAGAGGTGGGGTATCAGGGTAATCCAATCATAATAAAACACATGGACATGTCTAAACTCTAAAATGACATAGATGACTACTTTTATGATAATGAAACACACAACTTGTGCTAAAGCAATGACAGACAAGTAAAATCACAAAGGGATACAGAATTATAATACACTATTGAGCACTAGTACTACCAGAATACATCACATACAGCTATAGTACAACCCTTTATAAGCATTCCATGTGAAATTAGGCAAATCATAATAACTACATTTACATAGTAGACTAAAGACACACAAGCCACATTACTCGGCGTGGTTCACATGCTAGTGTAGCTCTAAGCTAGGGAAATAGTTCAGGTTTCATGCCCAATAATGGCGCAGGGGGGAAGGTGTAGACAAAAGCGAGCTGTCAAACACGCCGATGGCAACCGGGTAAGGTTTGAAATTTGAGGAAAATTTGATACAGGGGTATTTGGCCATCTCTCTTACTTTTTTCCTTTGGTTTATCTCCTTCTTTCCTGCTTGTGGTCTGCCAAAGAAATGAAACAGCAAGCATGTCACCAGTGAAAAGCAATGCTGTGTATAATGTTGTATTATTATTATGAAAGCTGCAAATTGTGAGAGGGAGGGGCTTGTAATGGGGCGGGGCTCAATTACCGAGCGGGCGTGGTCTAGTAATTAATCAAATTTTAGAGTAACAAAATGGCCGCTCCAAATCACACCACGACAGAGGAAGAAGGCGAAGAGAACGTTAGTTTATGGTGAGTGCTGCCATTTATTTAATATTTAAAGGATCCCTTAAAGCCAGAAGCTTAGTTCTAAGACTCAGAACTCTCATTGTATCTTTTATTTTAATTTTTAAAATTTTATTTTTAATCACTTCCTCCCTCCATCTTTTTTTATCATTCTGACGGTCTTTCTTTGTTCAGGTCTGAAGTATTGGAGGATGTGATTGGCTCTAGTAATAAAACCGTAAAGGCTGCATCTAAAAACGTTCTTGTTCTTGGTAAATAATAATAATTAATAGTAATAATACATGTACTTGTTCTCTAATGAATACTGATATTAAATGTGTTATTAATTAATTATTAGTGGCCACACCCACATGGTATAAGTACGTGTGCTTTTGTTACTATTCAAAGTTGTTGTTGTTTGTCTTCCAACAGTTTGTTTTTTGTTTTTGTTTTGAAAAATGTTTCAGTTTTGACATTATGATGAGTTTTGACATTATGATGTACATGTACATATACATGTATATGTACATGTACACTTATACATATACTTATACATATACTTATACTTATACTTGCTACATGTATACTTATACATGTAGCAAGAGTTACGTGTGAAAAGGTGTGAATAAAGGTTATTGCTACAGTGTGTCTCTAGTGTATTACATGTGCAGATGTACTTTTAAACCTTTTAAACTTTACTATACTGAAGTGATGTATATGTATTTATGTCAATGAACTTTTGTTGCGACAAGTTTCATCATCACCATCATCATTTATTTATTATTATTATTATTAGTAGTAGTAGTAGTAATAGTAGTAGTGCATTTAGTATGGTATGCTTCATATAATGTTCATAGTGTCTGTGTTTATTATGACTAGCTTACATCCTTTTGTGCTGTTAAACCTAGTATACTGTATAATGGTAATGTGATTTGATTACCAGTAATGTATCTTATATCTTATTGTTCTTTCTCTCTCTCTTTCTCTCTCTCTCTCTCTC